CAAGAGACGAAGGGGGGTTTCATCTCCGCCTCCTGCATACAAACGGCCATGATGAAAATAATGAAGAGCATTAATATCGCCACGCAACCGGTATAGTCTCTGATCGGCCCAACTATTCCACAGCCACACTGTATGCCAAGCAATTGTGGAGTGGTATGCCACGGTTGTGATTCAAATACAGGTACGTGTAGGCTGGCAAGCCGCCTGGGCCATTTGCCAATTGGAACCAACTGTGGATACGAGATTGTTAAAATATATAGCTTTGTCTACTGGTACTTTGAACAGGCATGTAAGCGTATAGCAAACCCGTACGTATCACATATTATATAACTTTTATATGTTTTGTTCGTGTTATATCAAGTCATGTAGCTGCAAATAAGTTTATATGTAATAAAGAAGGAAACCAATCCATGTTGCTGCGGTTTGTACTTAATTTAATTACAAAGCAATTTAACACCAGACACATACACACACATACAACTTATGGGCACACTGCAAACTGATCACTTACGTGTAATTATAATGGCATACATATAGGTAACATTCATACTGCATTACGAAGAAATAAGTGTAGTCCTTTTGCTTTATAAAAACAGGTTTAAGCCCAATGTATTGATTTGCTAACTAATATATTAGTCTCATACCATACAGTATATACAGGTTACAGGTACTAGTACACACACACAAACACACACACACACACACACACACACGCACGCACTTCGAACGCATGTACCGGTATATGAATGCCCACCCGGTTCGTAAGTACGTAGAAGTTTTCCACTAAGTTATTGCTGACTTATTGCAATAACTGACACCATAAGACGGAATCGTAAAACACGTCTATAGTCTCATAACCTTTAGAACAGATAATGGCAAGGATTCCGTAAATTGCATAACACCCATAAAATGTGTGGCAATGCGCCTTGAACGTTATACCTACTGCAGATGCCAAGGACGTAGCATAAAAATTGATGAAAATGAATGGGAGAAAAGACCGTGGTAACTTACGGCAATCGTTATCCGTAGAACGGCGTCCAAACGGTGCAGCAGCGCGCAGAAGGCGTGCCTGGTTTTCCGGTATTGCATTTTACGTCGAAATATGCGGGATGAGCATTTTTACTGAAACCACAATCAAAGACAGCCAACTGAAGGAAAAAAAGACCAATAGTTTCTTGCAAAGTGACCTTTACGTCTTGCCGGAGACTAGATACTGCTACGTGCGTCATGGAGGTCAAGGGTGACGCTTCCTTCAAGGAGGAAACGCGCGTTCCGTTTAGAACTCTCTGGTATTCCGGTACTCTATCATTCGGAGCGTCTCGTTGTTGCGCAACGTAATGAGAAAATTGTAATAATCTTTCTCGTATTTTGAAAGCAGCTTTCTCGGGTCTTAGACAGGTGGCGAGTTTTAATGCAGTTGTAGATTAGACCACGGTTAGGAGAAATACTGAGCATTTGTGATCTTATCCGGTTTAGGCAATGCCTCTTCCCGGGAATGGAAAGTCAGCCACAAGCAGTTGTCAAAACAGAACATGTGTTGCTTTCCCTGACAATAAATAAGAATAATCATAACATCCAACGATATATTGATGCCAAAAGGATGTCTACAAATGTAAAATGTGCATAACTGTCTGTCAGCCAATATAGCGTCAGCGCCTATATAATAAAACTACATCACAATATTGCTTGACACTAATGCCTGTCTTTATATCCAACTTGCGTTGAAGAATCTGTTACGACCCAATCTCGCGTGAGAAAATGAGATTTCCGACTTTCACAGTCAGTTATCAGTAAAGATATAATTTTGATCAAGAAGAACTGAGTTCCTTTATACATCGCTTTGTTGTCTGTGCTTGTTCAGAAGTTCTTCTTAAGACAAAAGGGAAAAGGAGCTTGCCAATGTACGCGCACTGACCTGTTACCCGTTTCACAAAAGAATTTGAGTCAGTTCCAGTGGTTAACAATTATGTTACCAACGTTACATGATCACGTGCACACACCTTACCCTATCAGGAACAGTGTTACGGCACTTTCACGGACATCCTAGTCAACTAAACCAGCGAAACGACTTTTTTGTATTTAAACCTGGGACCTGGACTCCTTAAGCTGCATGACCTCCAGTAATTGCTATGTATAATCAGTGCGTGAAGGAACCACGATCCTAAGCCAATTAGTACCGTCTTATAGCGCTGTATAATGACGCGGTGGCTTTATCGTATAAGCACTCGTGGGCGACTTTACCCGAATTAATCAGCACCGGTATTGCTATTGTGCAAAGTTAAACTATTGTAGACGTGTTTACTAAGATATATACTTTCTGGTGTCAGTTCCTTTATATGTTTACGTTCCCATTAATGTAGGGTTGGCTTCATTTGACACTAAAACAGAACAGACAATGGGTTTTCATTCTTGGAAATTGCCTGCAATTAGCCCAGCCATGTGTCAAAATACATGTTTTCTCAGAAACATTGTCTTCGCACGCAAGCAATTAACATATGTTGAAGCATGAACATTGAAAAACCAATCAACGCTTGGCTTTTCCCTGAAAAATATCACTTAAGTAGCGATCAACGTGTTTAAGCGTGACATTTTCTTGTTTTGGGGATACCCAATTGAAACAAACCATCCGTCTTTACTTTAATTTATACACCATTTGGAAGATTTGTGGTTTATGTATCTTAAAGTATGTATTGAATCATTCTGAATATAACTTCCTGTAACATTTATATCGATAAATAGTTATGGTATATTTAAGTGTATGGTGGTGTCAGCTAGGTGTCGTGTTTTGTTGCATTGAATTGCACTGTTCTGAATTCTTTTAATGGTTAAAATCGGTGTTGTCTTGTTTCTATTCTATTCTATTCTACATGTATTTAACTCTACATACATTACATTACACTCTATACACATTGATGCCTCCCTCACCTGCCTGTGCGCCCAAATCACCGACCCCAGTAGCTTCCAAGTGCTGCCCCGTCTGTCCAGCCTCACCATACGGAGGAGCTGGAAGAACCTCAGCCCTCGCAACACCGACGTGAAAGGCACCCCCGAGGCTCCAATCAGTAATACTGTTACACTGGCTATAATGCAGAGGACATCTGGAAAACAAAGAATCATGTATTAATGCTGTGTATTTATTTATTTATATATTTATTTATGAAGTTAAGGCCATGCCGTGTTTGCACGTCAGGTTTGTCACGGATTGTTGGGAAAATCTTGTCTAAGTGATCAGCCCACTTACAACGCTTGCTTAGCAGCTCATTTCAAAACCACTCACGTTGATTGTTCTAATGGCTCTTTCGCTATTAAGTCTAGAATGGAACTTGAGAAATTGGTTCAAATAAACTGTTCAAGCACGCACCGATGGGTGAAGGTCTGCAGGTATTTTACGAAACACCCAAGGTCTTCAAGTGTACATTTTCTTTTGTTTCGGACCACTGACATGACCATTTTGGGCTGTCAGAACATTCGTTTTGGACATGTGGTACGTATATAGCTTACAGTTGATCTGGCAGGTCTGTTTTGCAAAGCTGCTGTGTGCATGGAAAATATAGCAGTTTAATGTCCTTTGCTTTCGTCGAAAATAATTATTCGATTCGTCAAAATCAGTCATACAAGTTGCAGATTATACGTATATGCATACAAAAATTGTGTTGTGTCGATTCATGGCTACAGGTAGACAAATTATAAAGATTGTTTTTGCTTAATTTTATAATCCTTGAGACTGTTACATAAGAACATTTAAATATTTATCTTGACATAAACAACCGTTCCATTCACCTATTACACACAACGGTCTCCGAGAGAAGCGGAGTCTGCCCTCCAGTCCTTGATAACGAGACCGGCAGCCGGAAGACCACACACGAAGCACGTATTCAGTTGTGTACCAGAGCACCATGATGAGTTCCTGGAAGACAAATGACTAAAATGAGATTATCCATAAATAATATATGTGAACGTGTTTATGTGTGTGTGTGTGTGTGTGTGTGTGTGTGTGTGTGTGTGTGTGTGTTTATGTATGTATGCATGTGTGCGTGCGTTTGTACGTCACAGTGCATGTTGGTGTGTATTGACCTGCAGATGTACCCGAAAGTATGTAGGTAATATTAAAATATGTTGTGCAAAGAAATATCAGACGCGTACCTTATTTGAAAAAAAACAGCATGATGCAGCTGTGATTATATTGAGTAATACAAGTGATAGCAAACATGTGGTCACTGTGATGAAATAGTATAGGTACATTTAGACATATTACAAGTGTGTCCCGCCACTGTGTGTGTGTCCATGCTATAGCAAATTTAGCATACGTGGGCTGCTTAACTATATTGGGCGGATAAGACCGTACCCCTTCCCTTCCCCTGGGCCACCACTCCGAAATGTACGCCCATCACCATGTAGAAATTACACCCGACAATTGCTTCGTTCCAGTGTTTCATGTCCGACTTTATTTGTCTTGAAAATTTGTTTTGACAAAAAACCCGCAATAATGTTGCATGTGTCACTTCGGTTTAATGTACAGCAAATAAACAACTGTGTAGGCAAAGGTTGATTGTGATAATTACCTTATCGTGACCCTGGAGACAATAACAGGAGACTGTGACCACATATGACTGCGGAACATGAACAAATACTTGGTTTGTTACGACAACATGACGCACGCTACAGCCTTTTCTTGCCAAGTTGAATAAACGCAACGTATAGGCCTATATGCCGCTTGTCCTTAAACACCTTCTCTCATTTTACCGCATTTACTTTCTACTTTGTTTTCTTTTTCTATCTTTCTTTGTTTCTTTTTTATTCCCTCCTTTTTCTTTGTTTTCTTTCTTTCCTCAATTCACTCATTCACTAACTACATGATTCATTCTCTCATTCGTTATTATTTCTTGATTCATTTCTTCTTTCTCCTCTTTCGGTTTTTTTTTTTTACTGTTACTCTTACTGTCTTCCTCCTTCCTTTTGTCCTTTCATTCATCCATTCATTCACTCATTCACTCACTCATTCACTCATTTATTCCAACATTCTGACCTCGTTCTGCACCCACTTCACGCGGCATGTCTGCCAGTGCACTGCAAGATGTACTTACCAAAAAGAACAACAGCTGGCTGATCATGACGCGGTACCTGGGAACAGTTTCAAGGACACTCAACAAGAGGCAGGCTACAACGGTGACAAACCTGGAAGGAGATAAAGAACATTAATGGGTTTTAAATCAATGGCAAGATGGAATGTTCGATTTCGATCGTTTGATTCAAGGGAGAAAATGTTCCTTTAGTGTGAACGTAATGGTTGCCACGACAAACTGTAACGAATATAACCTTTTTTTCCTGTGGAGAATTGAAAGTTGATAAGTACATTTGCAGCTCATTTACATTTGACAGTCTTTTTTCTCCATGTGAGCATCCTTAATAGATGATCATTTAAACATCTTAAAGGGATAATAACTCTTCGTATGAGGTCTATATTTCACAATAAAAACATTGTGAATAACTCACAGAAATATAATATATTCTGTTTTATGACAAAAACAGCAGTTACCCTGTATAGCTATTATTCTGATATCTGAGCTTGTCTTCAGGCCACGTGACCTCCATTGATTTCTATACTCTGTTATAATCTCTTAAGAGATTATAACAAAAAACCAAATTTTTTAGAAAAAAACAGGGACTAACTTTGAATGTAGAAATGGATTCATTAACCATTGGTAAGTATGGGATAATTGTTGTTTACTCCAGGAAAATTCATTTTTTGGCCAAAACGAAGAGTTATAATCCCTTTAATATATATCTGTCCAATAGGTTAGTTCATCATTATTCTTTTGTAGTTGTGTTTTTTGAGCTAGCAAAATACGGAACAGCTACCGCAATCTGGTACAACTACAGCAGAACTTAAAGAAACTAACGACGAATCTTGAAGAAAGTGTGCCTGCGGTGTAATAAATATCCATATTTGTCAATGAGATATCTTACAAGACCTGTTAAATAGTTGCTAGGCCTAAAACATGAGTTGCAAGTGAAGTTACGTCACTTCTGCGATAGAACAAATGTCACATTCCCCCTGTTTAACAAGCTATTTGGCTAAAATCAGACGAGCTCAGTACAATAAACATAAAGCTCTGTAACATAGTGTATATCACGCATGATACAATACAACATAAAATGATATTCCCTGACATCATTTGGTGTATGGAAAACTAGGATCTAGAATAGGCACAGGTGTTGATGGATAGTTCAAATGCTAAAAGCAAAAATACTTCGGCGTTCTGCCTGCGATGGGTGTCAATTCTTAGGTGGACTCCATTGCTCTAGCTTAGATTCCTTGGAGCTGTATCACAGAATAAGCTTGGTATTATAGGGGAGGCAAAGCCAACGCTTTAGATTTGAGTCCGTTCCGCTGATTGCACTCCATCTAGATCAAAATGACTTCCATTTTATTGATTAGACTCCAGTTTTATTAACACATGGTCTTGAATGTGTGTGTGTGTTTGTGTGTGTGTGTGTGTTTTTTTTTTTTTTTTTTTTCAAAAAGACTGTAGCAATGTGCAGACTAATCGACAGCTGCTATAAATCACACATGTTTCAAAAGCGGAGTTCAACAACACCCGTAGAGCGTTTAATCAACCTAAATTACCTTACGTTATGAGGAGGCGCTCTCGTTATTATCAACTTGGTGCGAGTGATTAGCGGAAACAGGTAAAAATCTCGCTTTTTTCATCTTATGTTCTGCATATGCACAGCATAAAATCGGAGAGGAAATAAGCTTGAGTGAATTTTACGGCGCGGTTGCATGGTCCCCTGAGTTCAATAAGACTCTTTAAATAGCGAATATTGTATGGTTTCTTTCGTGAGTTCATAGTGAGGAGAATAAAGGTGTGTTTTTTCATAGTTCGCTTGCTGTCTGTTTTGTTTCCCAAATTAGAAGTCATACCTGTGAACAGTAAACATCTCGAACATTCGTCTACGTGTTTTGATTACGAAAATAACAACTTTAGTCTTTGAGTCAAAGGATTAAAGACTGTGTGCAAAACGATTCGAAGTATTGGCACTAACTATATTTTAGCCCTCAGATATGACTAAATGAGATATGTAAGTTTTCCAGACTAAAGAACATATTCTTAAAGCCAGTTTTAAACGTACATGTATGACTAACTGATTTAAGACAAATGTCACCCACCGCACGGCACGTTTTCTTAGTAAGCCCTAATAACACCATTTTGTCAATCTGTTCTTTTCCAAAGGCCACATTAATACACATATGGTTTACTGCAATTAGTTCAGAAGCGTTCTCGAACCTTACATTGCTTGTAATATAACATATTTGACTGTTGTACAAGTATCAATGCTGTTTAGATTGTTTAATAGGAATTCTATAATGAAAAGACATCCGAATACGCTATGTATCTTCTATTTCACTGTCTTTTCGTTGTGTTATCTTTGCTACTAGATCATAGTGTACTGGAATTTGCTTTCCTCTCTGTCTGTCGACCTCACTAGCAATGGCATTCACGACAAGACTTGTGGCTACACGTGGACGGAATTAAAGTAATATTTTTTTACACTTAAAGGCTTTCTAACTACTACTCGAATTAATAAAACCGGCTCAAGTCTCACTATCATAAGATGTGTGTCGTAAATGCTTTCCCTTCACTCAAACACTACTGCAGTGTAAGCAGCAGTTCTTAAAAAGGTTAAGTAAGCGAAAAGCGGGTGGTATAAATATTTAATGTTGACACCGCTCTTAAAGTAAACAATGTCACCTTCAAGTTGTCTGTCATTCATACCACTGTCATCTGAACCGTCTTCTAGATCTGCCGGTATTTTGAAATCCCATCAATTAGCCTGTATGGCAATTGAACTCTCTAGCTATTGTTTAGGAAGTCTTAAAAATTGCTACGAAGCGTTTTCTTTTAATTGACAATCAAAGTGACATTCAAAGAACATTCAGTTTTATCACTTCTTTTCGAGTCGTTTAAAAATGATGATACACAGGTATGTAGGCCTGCAGTACCGTAGCCCAAAGACCGTGCGTCTTTTAGATGCGAGATTGACAAGGCCCATGTCGCGTTCGTCTCTTACTGTGGATTTTTGAGCTTCAAATGGCTATGTTATAAAACTCGAAATTCACGTGGTCATGTCTTGTCCGTCATTTACTGAGACCCATAGATGCGAAATTGACCATGCCTGCGCTGCATTTGACTTATACTGTGCATCTTATAAAACAAGAAATTGACATAGACATGTTTATTTCGAAACTTGCTGGCTTCCATAAATCAAAATTACCTTGTGCCAAGTCGCATTTGTGCTTTTAAATAACAATGTTAAAAACACGAAATAGACATGGCTCGTGCGGTTTTCGCAGTCATGTCAATCTCGCATCTATGGAGTTCAGTAAGTGGCGAAACAGACATGTCATTTTCGGGGCTCAAAGCTCTGTTGTAAAAGACGAATGCGGCATGGGCCTTGTCAATACCGCTGCTATAGGGCTTAATAACATACGGAATAGTCGTTTTAGAATGTTAAGGGGCGTCTGAGAGACGCACGCGTAGGCTCCTTTGGGTCATGGTAGATATGCTCACGCATGTGATGATTTCTTAGCACTGATTTTTCTTTTCTTTCTCTGATTTCTCCAATTTCCTTCTTGGAACTTAAAGTATGTGACGCTACATGTCAGGGTCTTTCACCGAACAAGTCTCTGATTTAAAAATGGTGCACGGATGTCGTGCGAGTTGAAGTAAACATTGTTCATACGCAGCGTTAAGTCCACAGGGACAAATATGATCTTTGCATACTTTACATACAACTGAAGATGAGACACCGGTGGGAAAATCAATACCAAATCAATCTTTTCTACAAGATTCTATAAAAAATATATATGTAGTCAAAAAAATTAATTCCCTCCTTGTGCTGTATATATATTGTAGGAAAAACACTGGACATTTGTTCCGAGATCTTTCAGTCTAACTGAGCCCAATGTTTTTTCTACATATACAGTTTAAGTGTGTGTGTGTGTGTGTGTGTGTGTGTGTGTGTGTGTGTTAATATTTTAGACTCCGTTCACATGAAAAATCTATTTTCTAAAAATCTATTTTCTATTCGCGGTATCTTGTGATCACTCCGAGGACAGCCGAGAATTAATTACAGCTTTGGAAGTAACTGGCTCGCGCTGCCAGTAATTACGCCGCGGGGTATTCAGGACACAGACCGTGATCACAAGATACCGCCAATAGAAAATAGATTTTTAGAAAATAGATTTTCCATGTGAACGGAGCCTTACTCTCATTGAACAATGGATACAATGATCAGATGTTATAAATTTTGGTCACGCAAACATTTGTCCAACGTTACAACTGAATGACGAATATCAGCAAAACCCGTTCAGCTGGATTTAGATTGTCTTTGAACTAATCCTACTGAGTATAGGACGTACGCGCTGACTTAATTAAAAACACATAAAACAGACCGAGAAGTGCCACTCCAAAACAACGACCTGTGCAACAATATCAATACCAGCTGCTGCAGATTCCAAGAACCGGATCAAAATCACATGTATAATATAATGAAAGTAGACAGGCCGAACCCTGCTTGGAATTGAGAGAGCCGCCGGGAACGGTCAACAGAGATAAAGGTGACTGAACTGAAGCTTAAAATAAATATGTGAAGTAATTACTTTAGATAAGATGCAGCTCCAAGGACCCGGGAAGTTGACGTGAAAAACTGAGCTGACTGTTTATTTGTGAATAATTTTTTTTCTTTATTTTAATATCTAGATAAAATAAAGGGTCAAACTTCTAGAGCTAAGGGTAATTTAAGTATGTCGTGTTACTTTTGTACTGTTATAAGATATAAAATATCCATATATTCTGAAAAACCAAAATATCCATTTTAACATGATACAAATATTCACGATCACAGTCAATTTTTTCGTATTTGTCTTTAGTCAATTTTTACATTGGTAGGGTGGTTATGGGCCGAACAGTACGTATATACACACCGTTTCTACTCCTCTTACCCCAGTTCAACCCCCAACCCCATCCAACCCCTTGTTACACCCCATACAACACGCAGGCCTACCCAACTACCAGACTCGGCACCGAATGATCCTGAATTCACCAGTAGATCAGGCCGCATCACCCGTTTTCAAGTTTGCCTAGTACGCGATGTGATAGTGATGATTCTGA